CTAATACATATGTTAACTAGATGCCACGGTATAGTTACAATAGTTAAAGCTTACACTGCCGTTTTTTGCTATTGTTTATATAAGTTACCACAAGTAAATTATTAGGGAAGTAATGTTACGGAAGGCAAGTGATGCAATTGTCTACCTTAATTTAGTTGGAGGTTAACTAATCATGCGCTTTTACATTTTTGAACTACTACGATCGCTAGTGACCATTTGTTTCACTGTGTACACTGATAGCCACTCAGTTACCATTGTTCCCGCACACTAGCGCTATTATCTCATAGCCTAAGCATAGATCGTGCCTGGTTTCAATGATTGCAATGACGTTAACAATAATTAAAGCGACCGGAGCTATGCAAATTGTCCGCTAACGAAACATGTAACGTCATCAACATTAAATGAGGTAGCCAAGGCTTACACTGATATCAAACTGTTACTTTTATTGAACCAATCACACGTTAATAAGTTTTTAAAGTGAAGTGAATGTTGTACTCTCTTATCTGAATCATAAATAATTAATTATGCAACATTAACAGAAAAGCAATGTAATTATCCATCTATTCAATAACAAATAGAACACTTTTCTCTAAATACTTGCCGCCATCATAGCGTCAGTTAAAGTGAAGCTATATTATAAAAGCTGAGAAGCTGTACAAGATTTAAAGTCAGAACCAAAGCGTCAAGAAGCCTGTAATATTAATTATGATATTTTTGACAGCTGTGCTAATACATTTGGTATTACAGTAACAATGAATCCGTCTGCATTATGTTATTATTATTTTATATATTATTATATTATTATGGAGGCAAGGTAGTCTAGTGATAGGGCGCCGGACTCGTGACCGACGGGTAGCGGGTTCGAGTTATGACACGGCTTTGTATTGTGTCTTTGAGCAAGATACTTTACTTTAAATGAGTACGTGGTTGGGCAGTGCTAGTAATGTTGAATGCTAGCTGTTACATTAAGCGCCGAAATGGCAGCTCCGGTTGTATGCTCCCCAGGGAGTTGGGACAGATATTGACTGGTTGCAAAAGCCCTATAACCACGGATAATAATTTGTGAACGGCTTTGAGACGACCTAAGAACTAGGTTGTGATACAGCTGTATATAAGAACCTCGAATTATTATTATTAAGTCCCCCAAACTTTTAAGTCCCCCTTATTTTTTTACTCCGTTTCTTCTTCTTCTTCTTCTTCTTCTTCTTCTTCTTCTTCTTCTTCTTCTCCGTTTTCTTCTTCTTCTTCTGTGTTCTTCTACTGGGCGGATATTCATGAAACTACACAAATATACTCATTAGGGAGGTCTAGGTGTGCAACAAGCTATTTTTAACTCGACCGGAAGTCCAAGATGGTCACCAGAGCCTTATTTCCGGTTTTGAAGACTGTGGGCCCTGATTTCAATGAAAATTGGTACATAAGGGTTTTAAGTGATGCCGAACACAATGGTAACAGTTTCGAAAAGCTGCCATGGTAATGAAATGAAGGCCTCTGATTGGTCGAAATTTAGATGTTGTCTGATTCTGCCGAAAATAGGTATATAGGAGCTTTTAGGGATGCAGAACACAATGATAACTGTTTCGAACAGCTCAGTTGCCATGGTAACAAAAGAGAAGCCTCTGGTCGAAATTTTGGTTTTGTCTGAATCTGCCCAGATTTGGTACATAGAGGTTTTGAGGGATGCCGAACACAACGGTAACTGTTTCGAAAAGGTCAGTTGCCACGGTAACGAATTTGAATCCTCTTATCTGTCGAAAATTAGATGTCTGATTCTGCCTAAGTCCCTTAAGTCCAACAGGGGTCATTTGGGGACTTTTGTAACGGCTATCCGTTACAATTATTACTAGTTATTAAGATCCTCGAACAAAGTTTTAGGACTTTGCTGACATCAATCCTTGTTGCACCAGCGTATCTAGGAGCCATTTATATTGTGGACTATTTACATTGCGTGCACTTCTGTTCTTATTGCCACTACGTTTCTTGAAGTATACTTGACACCCTTCTCCAACACATTTACCCTCCATCTTGAAACAATAACGATTGGTTTATGAAGCGTCGATAAAGTAACAAAATAGCAAGCCACCGATGATTGCTGTAAACAGCTAATACTTAGTAGTTTGGTACAATTATGCGAAAATGTGTGATAAATAACGAACAACTAATTACACAAAATAACAAGACAATATAATAAATCACATTCAATACCTCCAAGAAGCGCAGAATTGATTGATTACTTAGAACAAAATAAAGTATTTCATATGGATAATCTATCTATTCGATGTGGCGTGGTCGGCAGGCACAAAGAAAGTGAGACAAGTCAGGGTCCCAACCCTGACAGAGCCACAACGCTTTGGAGATGGGACAATAAAACAAGGAAAGTGAGACAAGAATAGCTAGCGTCGAGTCAATGATTCCGTAAACGTATAGACAAAGACAAGAAGATACGGATAAATGTACAAGGCCACACGATCAGAAAATTCAGAAGAGGACAACTTGAGATAGAACAGTATTCATGTATCAGGGTGTCCTCAGTGTAAATCTTTATATCGATACTGTTTATTTAGTCGTTACACATCATAAAACTGTCATGAAAATATCCGCTCTGATATTCAATATAAAAGTTTGTATATAATAAGCTATATAATAGGGTTTCAGACAAGGTTGTTACTCATTTCCCCTTTTCTTTCAATTTACAACCACATTCAGGCGGCGATATGAGAACGTTCCACCACATGGAATTAGCTGATTTTTGGTACACATATGAAACAAGTAAAGCTCTATCCGATTTTCTGATGGAAATTTGCATCCAAAACTATATAACGGGAGAAAATTGCAATTTTATGGCATTTTTCTTCATAATTGTGTCTCTGCAAGTGCATTTTCATCCGAGAATTTTTTTTTTTATGTTTTATGAATAAACACGATGTTTTGGAAATATTTATCAAAAGAAATTTATACTATGTTGCGAATTACAATTTCGAGATAACCTTCTTTTATTTACGAACTTATGTCTTTGATGCTGAAATTGACAACTTTATAAAAATACATTTTCACTGAAATTATGAAATCTGGGTGTCGGAAAGGTGTAAAATTATTCTTCGGAAAAGAAAAAAACAGTAGTTGAGCTGGATAAGAAATTATACGGGGGCAGGCTCCTATGGAGAATTAACATTACTGGAAACAGGCTCTTTGGCATGTAGGTGTATGATGCTACCGCGAACTCAACTTTGACATCCGTTCTCTAACTAGACAAAATGGCTGCCATATACTGGTTACTGATTGGTCGAAGCTCCGTTGTAGTTCGATTTCGTTCAAATTTAGTACTCAACTGCGACATTTGTTTTCTCATTTGACAAAATGGCCACCATATACTGGGTTCTGATTGGTCGAAATTTACATATTGTTCGATTACACTCAAATTTAGTATGAAAGTGTTTTATGCAATTGTGAAACTTTTCTGATGTATCTTTGCGACTATAGGGACAGTTTGGGGGACTTCTGTAAATTTCTTAAAATTTATAAAGGTGTTCGCCAAAATTATCCTATGCCACATATCCTATCCTATTTTACATGTTTTATAGATATTTTCTAAGTATTCCAAATTTAGCATGTAGGTGTATGATGGTACCGCGAACTCAACTATGACATCCGCTTTCTAATTAGACAAAATGTCTGCCATATATTTATGTCCTCGCAACAACCAGGGTCATATGAGGATGGGTGTCAAGGAGGCATCTATAGAAGAAAACTACAATTCGAGGAAGTGGATGTGTTGCCGGCACGTGCACCCACACAATTAAAGGGTGTCATTTTGAAATATCTTGGTCACCATAATGGCCATATGAAAAGCAGTATGCTTTCAGTTGCATGTTGGTAGGTGGAGGGAGCTTAACGTCCACACAACATCTGAGCTCATATGCGGATGGTATCATTAGTGCATGATACGTATTGTGTGAGAATTTCCTATGTGCAAAAAGGCCATAATTCCAGTCAAAAAGGAATATTAAAACATGGTTCAAACTCAAACTGTAATCCATTTTGTAACACATATAACAGTGTTTTAGAATATTCAAGTGAGATATGGGATCATTATGAAGCCAAAGATGTGGAAAAAAGTTCACACAATGTTTGTCAGAAGTTACCAAGTCAAGAAATGTACAGGCAATGATTTAAGGTATTTTGAATTAGTATGTTTTCCCTAACATATTATATATAAAACCTGAGATTAGAAATATTTTGAGTTTTTATTGTATGGTAATGGTTTTTACAGCCATGGACACTTGAGGACGCGCCAGGTTTTAGTGGTGGAGGAAAGCCGGAGTTCCCGGAGAATAAACCACCGATCTACGGCCGGTACCTGGCAACTTCCCCACGTGAGCAAAATATTCACCACTCACCTCCACAGGTAACACTTTTCTGAAAAGGTAACACTAGACAATCTTGTGATAACAAATGGACAGTACAGTGTATCAGACACGTAACAAATGTCTATAGGAGTGAAATTGAACCGGAATTATATACGGCAAAACCATTTACAAGCCATACCATGTGCATAATTTAAATAAAATCTCGCATATAATCTCGGCGTGCTCTTCTGATCCTCGTGACGTCTTACAATCGGGTAACAACCTTTCTCTTCTGCTGTTGAACTTTCTGAATTTATACAAATGGGTTATCTTTCATATTTCAGTACCAGAACAACGATCGACCAGGAAGGTTTAGAGATTCTTGAGGAAATATTTTATATAACAACTAATTGGGTAAGCGAACTACAGCGTGTGGGAGATCTGCCATAAAGCAATCTTTTACGTTACCGTTCTGACGTTATCTCATGAAGTCTGATACGCTCCCTATCGATAGGCGAAACGTCCCTGGCCGAGTGACATAAACATATACAATTTCGTTACACCGTTGTACAAGTAAATAATACCAGTCGGTCTTGAAACGTTGCGACATGTTTAACACGTACATTGTTTGTGTAGAAAGTGAAACATTGATATTACATATTCCAAACTGCAGAATCTACCAATTGATTAACAGGATAATATTGGACAATAACTTGACTATAAATGGACAAAGCAGTATACATTTCTTAGAAGGTAAGCTTTCTTACACATAGGATTTTTTTTTGCGGGAAAAAAAGTCAATTCAATTTCAAACAATAAAATGGATACCTGTGATAAGTGGTTATCTTGTTGATACAATGTGACTAGATATTTTAACCTCATTATTAAATTCAACCTCTTACGAAAGAAATCCTCCTCGTAGGTTAGTATACTTTTTAGCATTCACAGTAACCAGGTCCCTATGTAGGCACCTTTGTGACCGAGGCCAATTGTGTAAGGTACATTTAATAAGAGGCGATACAAGAAACATATTACTTGTCCCTTGATCCAACGACTGAGCTAGATAGTTCATCACTGTAACAGCAAGTAGATGTTTTTTTTAATACACATTTTTGTATAAGGTGTACACATTGTAGTAGGTATTCAAGTTCCCTATTTTCCCTGAAAGTCGTGTTGCTAGGCGATCAGCTATGGTGGCCAGTGTTCAGGAGCCCTGAAAAAGAGCATGGCGGACAATTAAAGGCTGCATATTTTCTTCGATATAATGTGCGATTTTTTTTTTTTTTGATAAACGAATTGTTTATTATCAATACTCGTAACACATAACAATAACACTGATTAACCATATCAAATAGAACACCAACTGTTGATAACAGCAAAGAACATACATATATTCAAGAATTCATGAATTTTTAAACATATACGAACAAAGTTTTGACCTATTGACTAAAATACTTGATCTCTCAGCCACTTCTATACAAAACATCGCCTATCTTTTTTAAAAACTGGTTGCTTCACTCTAATCATAAAATGCATTGTCTATACCTTATAATAACTGATTTCTTAACTCCAATTGTGAATTGGATCTTAATATTGAGTACAATCGTATACAACAATTGAGAGACCTAACAAAAAAAGTAAGCTTGCGAACTGCTATTTTGGTTGTCAGCACCTTAAGTTTTATTTCTAACTTCAGAATAAAAAGAAAGTCACAAAAATGACCNAAAAAAAAAAAAAAAAAAAAAAAAAAAAAAAAAAAAAATTGAAAAACAATCATAAAAAGGTTCTGTTTAAAATTTCAATGAAAAAAAAGTTCTCTGGAAAATGTCATCTGAATATTTGCCACTAAATAGGATATCGACTATCATTAAAATGAATTTCAATCTTTTACTAAGCGATTTTCTGATAAAACTAAGCTCTCAACAAAGTTGTTTTGATAATTAATTTGTATTGCGTTTTCCTTTTTAAAAAGAACCTTTACGTACCTATCAGTGAGATTGTATGGATACTGAATGTTATGTGTTAGTAAGTTTTAATACAAAATGTATGCAAAAGATCAGAACTAGGACAGGTCCAGTACGTTTTTGCCATTGTTTCGACTGCTTAGCATAAATGTTAAAACATGTTTGGAACCCCAGTTTCTAGTACAAATAATAACGTAATCTTTCTTTCACCTGGAAATTTTGGCAAAGAAATTATAAATTAAATTTCAAACAATGATTAGAGATAACTTATTGTTTTGTATTTCAACATATGTATACAATATATGATCCCAACAGATGTTAATTTCTTTTTATAAACAAATTCAAAAATATGCATATACATGTGCGATAACGAGACAAGTGTAACACAAATAACTTAAAATCATACCTATGTCCACAACTAAAACCATATTTTCCATCGCAGCTAACAACCTCCCAGTCATCAATTTGGACATCGTTTGTAGTCGTCCTGTTATATCTCAAGCCCAAACACAAACTACTTTCATTTATTGCTGTGGGTTTGTTAACTACGTTTACCCACGATGGCAACTTATGTGAATAACGTAGACCAGTCCAGATCTTCCCGGATTCGTTAGAATGCGGTCCTGTGCGATTATACAGTGAAAAAAGCGTTACGTATTTAGACTTTAAGCTCAGATTATGACATCATACACAAAATAAAACAGCAAAATATCTCCCCACAAATTGAAGGAAGATATTTGTAGTAATAGTAAAGGAAGGTCAGGACATTTGTAGCTATTAAATACATATTTTAAGAACTTCTAGTGTTGGTACATATATATCAGGACCTTTGTATTGATGGTATATATAGATAAGGACCTTTGAAACAATGGTATACATAGGTCAGGACCTTTGTGGTGATGGTACATATACACGAAGTCCGGACCTTTGTAGTGATGTTATATATATAGGTCAGGATATTTGTAATGATGGTATATATAGGTCATGGTCTTTGTGGTAATGGTACATATACATGTAAGTCAGGACCTTTGTAGTGATGTTATATATATAGGTCAGGATATTTATAATGATGGTATATATAGGTCATGACCTTTGTGGTGATGGTAGATATACATGTAAGTCAGGACCTTTGTAGTGATGTTATATATATATAGGTCAGGATATTTATAATGATGGTATATATAGGTCATGACCTTTGTGATGATGGTACATATACATGTAAGTCAGGACCTTGGTAGTGATGTTATAAATATAGGTCAGGATATTTGTAATGATAGTATATATAGGTCATGACCTTTGTGGTGATGGTACATATACATGTTAGTCAGGACCTTGGTAGTGATGTTATATATATATATAGGTCAGGATATTTGTAATGATGGTATATATAGGTCATGACCTTTGTGGTGATGGTACATATACATGTAAGTCAGGACCTTAGTAGTGATGTTATACATGTATATATAGGTCAGGACCTTTGTAGTGATGGTATATATAGGTCAGGACCTTAGTAGTGATGGTATATATATGTCAGGACCTTTGTAGTGATGGTATATATAGGTCAGGACCTTTGTAGTGATGGTATATATAAGTCAGGACCTTTGTAGTGATTGCATATATAGGTCAGGACCTTTGCACTGATGTGATAGGAATGTTATGGCATTTGTAATGATTGAATATGAACGTAAGATAATTTGTAGTGATGACATATGGTATGGAAAAGAGAACACACTTTAAGTGATATTATTTGATATGTTCATCACTTATTTTAGGAAATCTTTATTATTATTATTGTTATATCAGTTATTTCAGTTATTTCAGCTCTAAAAATTATCAATTACACCTCACGTCCACCGTAAATACTTACTTAGTTGGACTATTTTGAAAATAATCCAAAATTTATGATGCTGATATTCGTCCAGTGAATCCATCATCAAAAGTTTTGCCCCAGTGCTGCCGCAGAACTCCTTAATAAAGATCAAGGAGAAACCAAATAAGATATACCAAACTCTCATATTATTATTAACCAAATATTTCTTTATGGTTCATATGTATGTTTTAATTATATTACAAGTCATTTAAATGGATTTCCTGAAAATATATCTAACAATGTTCGAAATGTATTACACTAATATCTAACTTAAATGTAATCCGTCGGCAAAAGGATTTGAAATGAAAAAAAAAGAAATTGTACGACGACGGGGTTTCGGGATTCCACGACCGAGGAAGCCGGGTTTCACTGAACAAATAATATTAATTGATTATATGTTGTACAGCATTCAACATCAAAAAATTTTCAAAACATTTCTCTATCAACACTTTAACTTTGCGAACCTTTACACTACTATAGCTCAAACCTAAAATGAACGAAGATTATCAAGCAGACAGTAGGCATTCCTATAAGAACAAGACGTGCCCTACTTCTAGCGGATTCGTTTCTGTTTTCATATGAAGCTGTATTTGTTGATGAGCTTATCAGAACTGGTGACAAGAACAAGAATAAGTCCTTCAATTTCACATTCAGATATATAGATAATGTGCTGTCTTTAAATAACAAGCGATATGTTGACCACATCTACCACATATAGCTTCATGAGCTTGAAATCAAGAACACTACAGGCTGTCTTACTTCAGTCGCTTTCCCCGATCTTTACTTACAACATGACCAAAAGGGTCGACCCAGCCAGCACTCTGATATCGGGCCGTTGTCGGTTGAAGGGCGGAATATCGGCTAAATATGCCGTCGGGCCGTCATCACTATTTATATATATGTTATTCAATATATTTATTTCTAACGCTTATTTAATACCAGAAGTTATTTAAAAGAAAGGTTATGCTGCTTTTAACGTTTAATTGCCAAAAAATTAAAAATATAAACATGACAAAATGATATCGGCCAAACAGCGGACCGATGTCACCAAAACCATATAACTCGGTTACTGGCCTTATGGATTTTCCATACATAGGGCCGATATAACTCCGATGTTGTATCAAAAAGAAATAATATATGGACATAACATTATGCATCTGTCTAATGTATTTATAAAACTGAATTCAATTAGTATAAATGCTAAGATAACTCATGAATTTATGTTGAAGTTTCAATACATAAACTCTTTTTTTATATATAAGTATATACATACGTTTATTCACTGCGGATTGACTAACCGGAAATTGCGCCAGATTTGTATCGGGTTACCGGCATTTTCAAAACTGACAGAGAACAGACAGCAGGCATAACAAATATGGGCAGTGTGTTTGGATTATTTCATGGACAAGCAAAGCCTAGTGAAAGGTGATGAGCGTAAGCTGTTTTATTTATACGATCATGTCTTATCTAAATTAATCTGAACATCTGGCCAGTGATACTAAAATGTTTACCAGTTGATTGCGTGCTGAGTGTTTATAGATTACAAAATAAGTGTGAACCTATATATAGTTATATCATTTTAAAATTAATGTTCTGCACCTCATGGTGTAAAACTGCATGATGAGGTCTTACATGATTTGATATTTATATCAACAATGGTGTGTTCTTACAGGGAGTGGTATTGACTTTGGTTTGGTAACCCAATAGTCATAGTCATACGTAATGGAGTCTGCCCTGAGGAGGCTACATGTGTACAGTGAGGCCCTAGTCTCTGGGGATTGTGCTAATGTGTAACAGGCTTATCATATATTGGACGTGTCTTGTTACATGTTACACAGATAGAATCATACAACGAAACAGTAATTGCCATTGAGATCACACTTGGTTATGGGGAAATTAGTAATATTTACTGCTGGTTACCGTGCACTCGCGTGGCAATGTTTTCGTTAATGGTTTAGACAATAAATAAGATGTGGATAAATAATGAGAATAATGTCTACCCAATTTATATTTGATGTCTGCAACACAATATGTCATATAACCATTCTGTATCACTCAATCAGATAAACACATTGTGTACCTAATAACGTCAATGCCTTCTTTATTTTGTTTATTTTAGATCTCACAAAGAATACTAATGTGGAATATGTAGTATATGTATACAAAAGTATATGTATGTGAATTTATTTTATAACACTGACAATTACTTATATTTATTGCAGATGCTATGACAAAAGTTAAACAGTTCTTAACGGAATTAGTGATGGCATAGCGATAACCACCAGAGAACGGCTTGATTAGTTATATCTTATTAATAAATGTTAATATTTTTATGTTTTTCATGGTGTTGTTATAGTATGTATTGCTGTTTTTTCTTTGATTTATAAGTATGCATGTATATATAGAAACAATATGTAATAAATGAAAAAAAACTAGTTTACACTCTACGAACTTGATCAGACTACGAATGATTTCAAACTTCAAACAGTTTAATGTATTGGTACTGAAAGATTGCAGATTGACATCGGGCCAATGTCGGGAAAACATCGGACCAACATACACATGTGTCCAGATACTGGGAGAAACATGGTTTTCTTGTTGGAAAGACGTCGGATAGACACCGGCCCGATATACTTGCCGATATTGGACCGACAATAAAACGTGTTGCAAATGGAAGCTGGTCCGATGTCGACCCGTACTTAGAACTGACACTGGGCCGATATGGAGGACTGCAGATTTACATCGGGCCAATGTTGGGACAACGTCGGGCCAACATACATAGGTTGTCCAAATATTGGGAGTAATATAGTTTTTAGGTTGGGTATACGTCGGTTAGACGTCGGGCCGATATACTTGCCGATATTGGACCGACAATAAAACGTGTTGCAAATGGAAGCTGGTCTGATGTCGACCCGTACTTAGAACCGACACTGGGCCGATATGGAGGACTGCAGACTTACATCGGGCCAATGTTGGGACAACGTCGTGCCAACATACATAGGTTGTCCAAATACTGGGAGTAATATAGTTTTTATGTTGGGTATACATCGGATAGACGTCGGGCCGATATACTTGCCGATATCGGGCCGACATCAAAGAGTGTTGCAATTGGACGCTGGTCCGATGTCGGCCCACCCTTAAAACCGACATTGGGCCGATATGGATTTCGACATCGGCCCAATGTCGGTCCGATATATGTGTGCTGGCTGCGAATGTACCGTTGCAGGATCGCACAATGAAACACGATGTTCGATGTGCGCACGATGTGTTCACGATGTGCGAACGATGTGTGCACGATGTGCGAACGACAACAATCTTGACGATTATTGTTGGCGCTCATTTGTTCGTACGATGGACAAATGTTGTGCAATAACTATCATGGTTGGTTTTGACTTTTTCAATTTTTTGATCGTGAACTTTTCCTTTCTTGAAAATAGCATCACTACCACCATACCTGTAGATATTACATGTAGCAATTGACACGGTGTTCAAGAGCTCGATCGTGATTGCAGTGATAAGAATCGACTAGTGATGAACAAACTTACAACACAAGGTTTTTAACGATGCAGGTTGATGTAGGCTAGGAAGTCTAATAGTCGCCATATATTCTCGCAGGGAAATATGCTATGGCTTTGTATGATGCGAAGATCAAATATTTTGCTTATGATCATTAGTGTGCCTTGTAGTTTTGTTGTCGCTACCCATGTCCTCGATGTGAATACGTGACATAACTTTTGTTTGACCTATATGTATATGGCGGGTGTCTTCGATAAAGCAGAAGACGTTAACCCAACTACGTTCATATCAACGTATAGGCCGACAAAGTGATGGTCATTCCTTATATTTACACCCTGAAAGTATTTAAATGCTACAATACGCAGAAAAACAACCGAATCGGGTTGATACGATGGTAACTACGGTAGCCGTGGTTGCTACAATGGTATTGTTTCATTGAATCTACATCGATGTATGAGCAAATGCAGAAAATTCACAGTGAACTATTTGTCTTCCTATTGTGGTTTTAATTTTTAAATTAAGTAATGTGAGAAGTCCTTCGAACAGTTGTATTCATTTACAACGGTGGTCATATACGCGCGATGATACACTGCTCATGGGAAAGAATCCGCCATTGTTTACGCTACTGTCAAAGATATTGGAATGCGCATTAATGGAATAAGAAGTTTGTCAGGATTCCGTCGATGTATAATTAGACACAATGGATCCCTAATAAGCTTCATGTATCTAGATGGTGAAGGAACCAAGCAATGGTTGTCATCGGACTGTTATCTCGTTGACGCGTGAAATGCGCCATGTTTGAAACTAGTATCAATCCGCCGAGCCTTTTTTCACTGCGTATACGCTAATTTATACGCAGTAAGAGTCTACTAAGCTGAAGAAAGGAGACATGTATATATATAAGCGTGCATGGTAAGCTCAGTGTATCGAAATCGGTGATTATTTCCTGTGAAAAGTTGTTTACTGTTGTCTATCAAAATATGATTAGTTGATAAGCATACAACTATCTAATAACCTTAGGCTGATGACACTTAAACAAAATACCAGGTCAACGAGCGAACATTCATGTCACGGTTTGAAAAAAATAAGAAGTAAGATAAAAACACCTTCGTTTAATTAACACGGTTTAGAAAAATCAGTTAACAGTCGAAACCATTTCTTCTTGGTTTTAGAGCCAGCTTAAAGAACTGTGCCCTTAGGTAATCAACTAGATATTGTACTGGGTATTACAGAATGTTCATCACCCAGATGATTATTCATCTATATTCAATGTTTAAAACCCAACTTATTTTCCGTTGTTTAGGCAAGCAACCTAACAAACATGGAGCTTCAGATGGGTCCGCCACATTGGTTCACATCCAACTTAACCATAATGTTTACAATATATTTCCCTATTCAGTTGTTTTCAGACTTGTTAGTATTGTTACTGTAACTACTTCTACTATGATACAGCATATGTGTGTTTGTAACTCGACTTATATAAGATGACTAATAATAGTATATTTTCCAATTCTTTTGATTTTTAGATAAAATTTATTGAAATGAACAAATGA